TTGCTCTTCGGAGATTAGGATCGGCAGAATGATTTTCAATCTATTTGCCAATACTTTAGCTGCTATCTTGTAGAGTACATTGCATAGGCTGATGGGCCGGAATTGCAAAAGTAACTCCGGTGAGCTAACTTTCGGTATCATTACAATCACCGTAGCATTAAACACATCCGGGGCCGCCACACCCGCCAGAAACTCACGAACCACCCTGCACACGTCCTCCTTTACCGGTGACCAGTGTCGCTAGTAAAACATAGCTGGTAGCCCATCTGGTCCAGGCGCCTTCGTTGGCCCCATCTGGAACAAGGCAGTCTCAATTTCCACATCTGTTATTGGTGCCACCAGCTTCAAATTCATGTCCTCTGTAACCGCAACAGCGATGTTTTCTAGCAGTCCTTGAGCACTTGTAGATCCTTCAGACGTAAACAGGTTCTCATAGAACGTAGCTGCCATTTCCCTCATATCCTCGTCCACCATGCACTTTGAACCATCTGCTCTAATAAGTGCTCTCACTGTATTCTTCCGTTTTCTGTGTGTGGCTCGCCCTTGAAAGTACTTTGTGTTCATGTCACCTGCGGCAAGCCAGTCCACTCTCGATCGTTGTCGCTGCACCACCTCTTCTCGTGCATAGACCTCTCTCAGTTGCTCTTCAATACCTTTGATTTCCGTCGAGTATCCAGTACCCAACGCCCTGTACTTGGCATCCTGCAGTTGCGCCTTTAACTGCTGTCTCTGCATGCGAATCGATCCAAAGACCACTCGTCCCCACTCCTGCATACTCGCCGATAGCTCCCCAAACCTGTTGCATGCTGCAGTTAAACCTTGCTCACCCGACGCCATGCCAGCCCACTTCTCCTCCACCATCACGTCATAATTCTCATGCCTTGTCCATGCCTCCTCGTATTTAAACTGTCGTACACCTTTCTGTCCATGTACTGGAGCCGTCTCCATAATATGAACCACCAAAGCCACATGATCCAATTCCTCCGTGATAATATGCTCTATATTGGTGTCCGGAAACATGGACAGAAAACCTTCATTGCAAGTGCCCCTATCAAGCCGAACCTGAATGTTCTCTCCTCCCTGTCTTTTGTTATCCGACGTGAAAGGATATCCGAAGAAGCCCAAATCCGCAAGGCCGCAGTCGGCCACATAGTCGCGGAAGTCTTCCATTTGCACAAAACTTCTTTGGTTACCCCCCATTTGTTCAGTCTGAAACAAAGCTTCGTTGAAATCCCCAACACAGAGCCATGGCAACTCATCTTGTCTTCTCAGATACCGGATTGCATTCTATGATTTTTTTTCTATGGTCGGTGTCTGGTTCCCCATATAATCCAGTGATTCGATAGGTCTTATCCTCCCACACTACCTCTGCATCCAGAAAATATTGACACCAAGGTCTCATCGTTACCTGAATGTAATCTCTCCACCATAATGCTAAGCCGCCACTCTTCCCTCTACAATCCACTGCCACTCCACTTTTGAACCCCAAACTCCACTTTAACCTTTCCATTGCTCTCGCCATCTTTTTTGTTTCACTCAAGAATACCACCGTTGGGTTGTGGTAGGGGCGGATCCATGTGGGGGCATGGATGTACAGATGTACACCCAATTATTTTCGCAAGATTTTTCTATATATGATGTATGCTACGTACATGTATTGAATGTGGTGTAGTTTGTGCAATAAACACATGTTAATTTGTATAAAACTGGCCTCAAAGCCTCAGTCCAGCAACCATAAGTTTTGACAGTCTATCCCACACGACCCAAGTGGCTGCAAGTAAAGGATCCCTATTTGAAATATGTTTTTTGTTACATTTTCTGCTCAAGAATTTTTCTGCAAGTAAGGATAATGACACCATGCCTTGTTTTTGGCCATGCCATATTTGTATGATTGTGTAGTAAATAATCTTTGTTTTTGTTATTTCTGTACAATACTATCATTATGATGGTAAAAAAGTTCTTAGGCCTCCTTTGGTTTAGAGGAATTTCATAGGAATTCTAGAGGATAGGATTCTTATAGGATTTTTTCCTTTAGAGCCCTTTGGTTCATAGGAATGGATTCCTATTCCTACATAGGATTGGTTCCTATCCTCCACATTTCATAGGAAAATAAAAAAGAGCCTAGACTCAATGGAAAAATTCCTTTGGTGTCAACCAAATGACATCTTGTTTCCTATTCCTACTCATAGAATTTAAGATACATGCTATCTCATTTCCTACAAGATTCCTATTCCTATGATAATCCTATCCTATGAACCAAAAGAGGCCTTAGTAGCTGCGTGAACATTTTAGATATTGTACATGGAAAAAAAATTGAACACCCAAGTCTAAAATCCTGGATCCCCCACTGGGTTGCGGGACCTATTCAGGTCCCGAAATTCGCCCAGTATCAAGTCCAACCCCAGTCCTCGACAATTCCAGGCCAGGATATTCATTGCTCCCGGCGGCCCTGAGCATCAGGGTCCGCCGATCTCTCGTGGTTTTCGGTAATGCGATCAAACACAGTTGATGTTTTACGTCGAGTATCGCGAATGAAAGCATCATTCCCACCCTGCCTGTCAGAGTCACCCTTAGCCATCCACATCTGTTTTGGCCTTCGTTTCCTGGACTCCTGAACCTCTACCTCTCTCTGTCCATTGCGTTGTTCATAGTCCGTATTTTGCCTTGGCTTCCTGACATAATATCCCCTGCGTCTCTCTTGAAAGCCATGCATATCGGGGTTCCCAACCGGGCCTATACGCCCGGGTCGAGCAGGTGCATGTCGCCCACTGTAGGAGCTGCCCATAGCATCTTTACCTTTTGCACTCCAAGGAATATCATGAGCAAAACCAGCCTCCCTCTGGAGGTTTTTATCAATCAGCGTGTCCCTTAGATCCTTCTCCTTTTTCTGCTCTAAGTGATGCTGCAGGTCACGTTCATGCCCCATACTCGATATCATTCTATCTTTTCTTGGGCTATTACTTCTCCTTCCCTCAGCTTGCTCAGCCCGCCAGTGCGGATTTCAGCTGTTTGAGAAAATTCAGAGTTTAAATTTCTCTTTGTTGGGACGTCCCTCACACGCCCATAATCAGCTCTTTGCCTCTGTCTCATACCATCATCAGCCTGCGAGCTACTGTGGCTATTGTTGCTACTTGTTGCCCCTCCTGTAGATCCTTCCTTTTTACCGTTCCTGCCTGGAGAAGCTCGCAACCATCTGCCCCACTGTGACGTGGAGTCAACCGGTGGCTCACAAATCCCACCACCGTGCACTAGCTGCCCACATTCAAAACAAAAGTGGAGGACTTTTTCATAGTAAAAATCAAACCATGTGCCCCTAATATCATCCTTTGATTTTTTAGATAGAATCCTCTGACTAACCGTGCATAAACGTCAATTTTGGCCCGGACCTGAAGTTCGTTTCCTCTAGCCATCCCATCCTTGTCCACATCTACCTTCACTACTTCGCCAAGCCAATTTCCCAAAGCTTTCCCAAACACCTCAGTCCTCTTATCTGGCGGAAGATCTATAACCCGGACCCATATATCCACCTTATCGAAGATCATCTCCGAGGGCCTCGTCTTGCCTTCGTAATCCTTCATGATCAGCAGAGCGAAATCATACTGCCATGGGCCATTGTTCAAGACATGTTTGTAATCGCCCTCGCTCCCAAAGTGCACAACGAAGATATTGGAACCCATGTCTCTGAATTGCGCATCTCTATGCAGGCCCCAACCACGCGGCATGGTCCTCTCAAGAACAGACTTTTTGAAAGGACGGGTAGAACACACCTTACCCATCGCTGACCATCGTGAACACTTTGGCATCTTAGATTCTGGTTCATCAAAGATGAACCCTTCCACCTCCTTATCCATAAGCACCATCCCACCCAATCTCGCTGACAAGCTTGATGTCGGATCCGGCGTTTTGCTCTCCACCGGGGATTTGGAACACTCCTGATTAGCAGATCCACCCGATCGCCGTGCTGTTGGTGTAGCCGGTGTCGCCTTTGGGGTGGTCATCTTGTTCTTCGCGGATCCCGTCTCCTTGCCGTCCACTGTCCCCGCCATGAGCGGAATACTTAGCAGGAACCAGTTCTCCCAGCCAGCGAACAGGGATTGCGCCGTCGCCCTCCTTGCTGCTGCCAAATTCAAACCACCCTTGTGAAGCAGAAACCCTAACCCTAGCGCAGGAGCACAATCGCCTCGCGATCGCCCCCTACCGCCTTAGTGTTTCCTTACGTGGTGGACTCTCAAAATCAGGACTAGAGTGCTTCGTACAACACGTGTGTCACTTATCATTTGGAAAAATAAAAAGAAAAACCAGATTAGCAGACGGCCGGCAACCCAAATCGATCGGCACCGGCGCTGGTGAACCAGCGAGGTCCGGAGCCAATAATTGAGGAGGAGCAGACGATGGGATCGGAACGGCGCTGCTGGATGGAATTCGAGTGCCCGATTAAAAAAGGGGGAAAGGAAAGGAGACGGGCGGAGCCTCCGCCGATGGAAAGGAGACGGAGGACGGGAGGAGGTTACACGGCGCACGGCCACGCGGCCACGCCGCGCGCGGGCGGGCGGGCGGGAGGGAGAGCGGTGGGTGGCTGGCCTGGCCCCGGCCCCCCGCACCGCGGCCTCGAGTGCCCACCACGGCACGGGCCGCACGACGCGGCGCCGTGCGGTGCGGTGCCTCTGCCCCCGCCCGTGCCGTGCCATTACCCACCCCTTACCGCCCGCCCACCCGCCGCCCCGCCCGCGACGCGACAAACCCCGCTCCAAGCAAAAACCACCACCGCATCTCGCACCGCACCGCCACGCCCCACGCGGCTGCCGCGGCCGCTGCCCCTCCACAGCCGGTCGTTCCTTTCACCGCGCGGCCCACCCCACCCACGCC